ATTATCTTATTTTAAGAGTAAGGATACTAATTTCATTGGCAAATCATTGAATTTACATACTCAAAGTAAGGGTAAATACACTTAATTTAAGAAATTTTTTACTTATTTCTAGATCTTTTTTGCAGTTTAAAGATCACCTTTACTTCTCGGGGCGGGCTTTCCTCTTGAGTTTGGAGTAAAGATGCTTTTCTATTTGTCTGCGTGGATGTTATGTTATTAACAACATTTTTATATGGCTTCAAGGGAAAGTTAATCTGATCTCTAAGAGGCAATTCCTAAAACTCTGTGTGAAAAAGACCATAACAAAATTTGACAATATTGAATCTGTAAAAAATTTAAACTTACAAGTTTCAAAATATCAAATCTGGGAAAAAAAATAGAACACATAAAATAAAAAAAACAGCAACTACAGTTATAATCTTTTTCTAATAAAGACCTTCTGCATTTTTTTGTATTTCACTTTTCATAAACTGCTCTTTGCTCGCAACAATTATGGAACGAAAATAAACTCCATAAGACAGGAAACCGAACAAGGAGAAGCAGGATAGATGACAGATGACTGTGTGAGCACGTGTGTGTCTAATGTCTCTATAATAGGCTAAATGGAAGAGAAGGGAAGCAGAATGCAGCAGGGAGTGGGTGAAACAAAATGCCTCCTCTCTTTCTGTGATTAACGACTCCATCTTAATTTTCTATTAAAAGCCAATTACAGCAGGAGCAGCACTGAGATCAACGCATGTGCATACACACCGGCACAATCCCCACACCCTTCCTCATTATACTGCACCATTAGGAGGAGATATCATGTCCACAAGGTGCTTTAACACCTACAGATCATTCATCAGACGCAGAGAATTGACGCAGGTACTCCTGGTTGAGCACACAGGCAGGCGAAGGCACCTCAAGACATCACAGCCATGAAGAATACATCTACATTAGGTCTTACCGCAAGTGGCATGGCAAAAATAATATGTGTAGAAAGGATTAAATTAATAAAAGCAGATTTTATGAGGGGACTGTCGAGCTGAATTCATAATTATCTCTGAGAAATAGATCTGCTCATAATTATGTGATCCTAACCCGACAATCTAAATCAGTTTATTATTTGATAAATACAAAGAAACATTAATAAACTTGACATAAACACAAAACGAAAAATTCATCATATTAATGGATAGATTTCTTTAAGAGCTCCTACTAAATAGGATTTTTTTGCAACAAATAACAGAAATCATGTTTTCTCTTTGAGGAATTTAGGAAGCAGGAGCATCACAGTGAAAAACCTCCCGTAACCTTAGTGACGAGAAATCCCTCCTCAATCAAGATACAGCATTCTGGAGTATTTGGTACAGTGCAGAATCATAGTTAATGGTTGAATTCCACTTCCATGTATCCTAAGTCCTTAACATTCCCTGTTTGGGTGTTAGAGATGATTCTAGGTGAAGTTTTCTGTTTCTTTTCTATACGTTTCAATTAGCTACAAATGCTAACTCTTGACTTTGTCCTTTTCTTTTATTTCTTCAGTTGTGCCTTTTGGTGTTCTGAGCTTTGCGACTTAACTCTTGTATATCAGTCTTTGTCTCCTCGGTCTGTTTCAAAATGATTTGCCACCCTACCCTGAGTAGTAACAGAACTGAAGACATCAGCTGGGTAAGTATACTCGGCACTTAGGGGAAAGGCAGGATAGAAGCCACCAAAAGCTCAGTTTGTGGCCCCACACCTCTAAAACTGGGCATACATTGTCCAATATTTTCATTCATTGTACGTAGCTACAGCTTAAACTGTACAACGAAACTGCACTTATAATGTATGTTGTCACACTGTGAGGCCATTGGCTTTGATGAGCTTTCTACCTGAACACACTACATGTCTAAATACTACATGTAGGACACAGCGCCTAGAGATGGCGCTGGTCGGACACGTCAATCTGGAAGAAGAAGTAGAACTTCCTTATTTGCACATGCGCAGTGCTCGACATTCTGGTAAATCGACTCGTAGCTCTGCTTAAACAGCAGGATTTGCCCACGACCACACCTGATGAAGGCCATACGGAAGAGGATTAGGGCCACTGGAAAAAAAAAAAGTTTACTGATTTTAAAATTTTAGTTCAATTTAATATAGGAAAAAAGTCAGAATTCTTACTTTTTTTTCTCAGAATTCTGACTTTAATCTCAGAATTCTGACTTTTTTCTCAGAATTCTGACTTTAATCTCAGAATTCTGATTTTTTTCTCAGAATTCTGACTTTAATCTCAGAATTTTGGATCTTAATGTAGATGGGCACCATGGGGGAAGAGATCTGGGAGCACTCAGCTTCACTGACAAAGATGTGAGTTGTTTGAGGTGGCCAGTGACACATTGGTGGAAAATGACGGAATTAAGCAACTTTTTACATGCCCTCATTAATGGAGGAGCAGAAGGTCATTAAAACAAGAGAGCTAGTCTCAGAGATGGCTATGGCTTGATGCTAACATGTTTGTTAGCTGTCAGAATTCTGAGATTTAAGTAAGAATTCTGAGAAAAAAGTTAGAATTCTGACTTTTACCCCATGTTAAACTGAAATAAAATTTAAAAATCAGTTAACTTTTTTTTTTTTCAGTGGCCCTCTTCCGTAGGTTGTGTGATAGTTTGATTTTGCAAAATCTAAAGGCATATGCTAGGGTGTCTTAACAGAGTGCAGCAAAGAGGGCTCTGGTTTGCCTGTTGAGCTTTCAGCCTTTCTTGAAATATCCTAAATTTAGAAACACTTGCAGCCAGGTGGAAATCTCAGAGGTAATTCAAGGATTTGTATTGCTTAATGATCAGACAAGCCTCTCTATCAAACGGTTTCTCTCACTTTGGTCCTCTAACGACTCATAAATCATAAATTGATAGGGCAAAATCCTCCGTTGCTGTGAGTGTTTAACAATAAAGTCCACAGGTGTTGTGCAGCATCATTAGTGCTACGAATAAAACCTATTCCCTTCTTTATAAAATATAATGGTGGACAGACTCAGTGCAGCGAACACATGGAGACGGCCGAAGGTCGTCTAAAATCCTGCCCTGACAGGTTTCCTAAAAGATATTGTTTGTTCAGTATTAATAGCCACTCTCTGATTGCTCATAACAAATAGACGACAAAAAAGGCGTTAGATAATTTGTTTCAGTTTACATATTTTTGTAAAAATGTGTTTACATCAACCTCTCCTCTGATGTGGAGTGATGTCACCTCAGCTCTTCATCTGAATAATTAATGACAGCTCACAGAAGGAGGGTTTGGAAAAAAAAAAAAACATCCGAAAGGCTATTCTAAGACCTCCTTATCGGGCCTACAGCTGTCAATTGATTGTTTTGTTGATAAAAAGAGATGCTTTTAGTAAATAAAGTTAAAGATATGTACACTCAATATCTATTGTGATAAATTATATCCGTTTTTATAAACATTAAGAAAATAATCCATTCATAAATGTGTAATTTTACTGGAGGTTCCTTTAGTTTCTTTAATCCTTTTTTATTTCCTAAATAAATCCTCCTTATGTCAGAATTTGCTATTATTTAGCTTTTTTTTATTGTTTGCTACATTGTGCCTAAAGTCCAGTCATGATTATTTTTTGAAAACAAATTATTTCATCTTAAACTACATATAATGACTTTAACTATATCTTCAATCATCACTGTAATGAAAAGTATGACTACTGTTCCTTTTAAAGAGCAGTTCTGAGCTTTCTCACCTTTCCTTCCTTCCCTTTGGAAATCCACGTGGCACCATTCTCCGTCATTGACCTTCTTGTTGCTGGCCTTGAGCTTTGTTTTTCCAGAGCCCATATCGATCAGCAGGTATAAATATCCATCCAGCAGTTCCATAGCAAAGTAATCAGTCTTCAGTTCCCTCCCAGGCTTCTGCTCCTTAGGCCCCTGAGGGCGCCCATGGCTGAATAGCAACAGGCCGCTGGGCTCTGTGGTGCGGAAGTCGAAGGAGATGGAACCCGTCTTCTTAGTGTTCCACTTTGGCAGAGAGATGAACGCTTCAGGGGCTTCAAACGTTACAGGATCAAGAGCCGCCACATCTTCGCAGCGGAACACCAAATCACCATGCAGTGTGATTTTAGGGTCGCGGTCGATGGCGAGTCGGGAGAGCTCCAGCTTAAAGTCATTGTTCTTGTACACCACCTGTAGAAGATAAAAGCACAACAGGTGTTTAAAAACAAGAACAGTCTTTGGAGCTGGTATAGTTTAAAAAACATGGAGTGGATTTTGTTCCATTATTGTTACAAACAAAAACCATGTTATGCAAATGGGAATTTACAAAAATGAAACTTAGAATTTTGCTGCTTCATCTGATTTTAATGTTTAATAAAAAAAAATAAAAAAAAAGATTGATAAAATAAAATTTAAAAAAAAAAATGAATTTCAATACGATTTTTACTGATATTGCATTGATTTTTAAGTTGTGTTTTACAAATCACATTTTCTGGAGTTAGAAGCAAAGATGCATTTCTGTTAGTTTGCTTTGATGCGAGCAACAATGTTGGTATTGGGCTTAAAATGAAAAGAATGCGATCTTTAAAACACAATTTCAAAAGACTACAATCCATAAACTGAATCTGAACAAGACAACATCTAACAAAAATAAAAAAATTAAACTTTGTAAAAAAGTTACATAATAAAATTTTGAAAAATAAAATTAGACAAAATGATATATATATAAAAAATGAATAGAAATTATTTGAACAAACAAAATCTGCAGACAGCAAGGTTACACTCAAAAGCTCATTTTATTTATTATTAAGAAGTTTTTTAGATTATTTTCTTTATGCATTTTCTTTTTCAAATTTCCATTATCAAAATGTGTTTTTCTTAATATCCCAGTTATATATGCTGCTGTTCTGCTGATCTCTGATTTTGCAGCTTTATTCAAATATCCATTACTGTAAAAATGTCCACAGCTGTATATTGGTTATTTATTCTCCAGGTGCAGAGTTTTAAGATTGTTCAAACCCTTCACAGTACAGTATTTTATTCTTTATCTTTTAAAACTTTACTAATATGTTCTTCTTATACATTTCTCTAAGGTCCATATTTATGTGAAATTTTTTTTAAAGGGATTTTCTATTTTATTCTATAATATAAATTGTTTTGTGTTTAAATTTGAAATTACAAAACTCTTTGTTCTGTCTATAAAACCTGTCTTTTTTTTCCTTTACAAGACATGCTATTTGCTTGCAACAATAATGTAACAAGCATTTTAGTTTCACCTGGTTTAATTTGGTTAAAACTCTTCTTTAAAGTAACTTTGGTTATCCGATTATTAATCCTTAAAATAATCAACAGATGAATCGATTAGCAAAATAATCATTAGTTGCAGCCCTAATAATCAGTTTTTATATCACATAACTGCAGCCGTCACATTTACAGCATTGTGGATTGCAAAGCAGCTGCAGATGTGAGTCTATAAGCTTGGAAAAACTATGTTAGGATGGACTGCAAGATGAAGAAACACAATTTGTATTGACTTGGCAATTCAGAACTTACGTACATTGGACAGAAATGACAGAAACCTCTAACAAGACATTTCAGTCAGATAAATGCTCAGTTTACTGATGATGAATTATTTAGTGAGAAAAAGTCTTTCCACTTCCTGCTCAAACACTGAGCAACCACTCTGGGCCGACGAGTTGCCTGAGATGTGCCTTCATTCATTTTAATGATAAGGGTCAGGGTTGTGTTAGTGCACATCAATCTCCGATTCACACTTTATGGACTCCTCCCTCTTGTTCAAAAACAGAAAAATGGAAAAACTATTTTGATGCTGTACATAAAAAACAGCCCAGAGATCCAAGCCACAAAATAAATGAAAGGAGAATACATAAAATAAAGGCTCTGGGGGGAAATCCAAAAGCAGAATTACGTGAATACTGCCTGCGGTCTCAACTCAAATGTTTCCAAACCGCTTTGATGAAATACGGCGCTATTGTTTGTGCTTTAAATGTGTGTAACTCTGTGCCTCAGTGTATTCAGAACAAAGTAGGCGCTAAAGGCAAGATAAACTCTTGTCTTTTTAGTTTTAACTTTGCTGTGAGCACAGAGTACACACTGTTTGAGAGACCATCCTCACGGTAACAGTGAGAACAAGCTGAGATTTCTCAGTTTTTATTGTAATGCCACCCTTCATGGTATTTTACACTCCTACACAACCCCAGTAAAAGTCTCAGTGGAAGAATGAATTTTTAAATTACACTCTATGTTTTTTGTTGTTGTTTTTTTGTAGCCGGCTACAACTTGCTCCAAAATCATAGAAGTGTATTTGCCATCAAAGTTTTAATTGTATATGCTGCAGGAAAAAAAACAAAAACACTCCCATAACACATCCTAAATTAGTACAAATGAAATATTGTCATTGAATACCTTGTTCTTTACAAAGTTGAATGTGATGAAAACAAAATCCCCCAAAATAATCAATGGAAATCATGAGTCACACACAGAATTAAAGTGGAAAAACACTACAGGCTGATCTAACTTTGATGTAACATCCTTAAAACAGGTCAAAATGAGGCTCAATATTGGGCGTGGCCTCCACGTCCCTGTATGACCTCCCTGGGCCTGTTCCTAATGAGTTTACAGATTGTCTCTTCCCAGACCTGAAATAAAGCATCCACAAACAGCTAGACAGTTTGTGGTGTTACGTGATGTTGGTGGATGGATCCAGACATCATTTAGCCTGACGTAGTCTTACTCAATTCTAGTCAGAATATGAGTCTGATACTGCTCCATAGAGCTGTGATTATAGGGCATGTTTCGAATGAACCAGGGAAAAAAATGCCTCTGCACTCAATTGGATAGACCTACAACCAATAAGAGCAACGGAGTGCGGGACGTATGTTAAGCGACGCATAGTTGTTGTCAACAAAAATCAAAGTGTGCAGTTGCACGCCTAGAATAAGAAGATGAGCCTTGATCGCGTTTCTCTGTTCCTCTTTTAAAATGTATTTGCTGTCGATATCTTCTAGAACAGACCTAATAGCAGAATCTACACACCTCAACTCTCCAGCGGCAGCCATTGTTGTTGTCGCCCAAGCGCGCTTTGGTTACGTGGTTGATTACGTTACTGTTGATCATCTGTCCATCATCGTATAAAGCCCACCCTGACAATTTGATTGGCCCGCCAGATATTGTGCGAGCATACTCGCGCTACTACTGAGCAATGCCAGACCGAACTTCCTGACCTCAAACGTTGTTGGGGGGACTAAGTTCGGAATGGCACCCAGGCTAGACATCATGTCCCAGATGTGCTCAATTAAATTCAGGTCTGGGGAACGGGCAGGTCAGTTCATAGCTTCAATGCCTTGATCTTGCAGGAATTGCTGACACACTCCAGCCACATGAGGTCTAGTGTTGTCCTGCATAAGGAAGAACCCAGGGCCAACCGTACCATCCTATGGTCTCACAAGGAGTCTAAGGATCTCTGTACCTCAATTTGCTAACCCTGGTGTTCTCTTGCAAATGCCAAGTGTCCTGCATGGTGTTGAGCTGTGATTACAACCCCCATCTGTGGATGTGGGGCCCTCTTGCCATCCTCATGGAGTCAGTTTCCAACCGTTTGTGCAGACATATGCACATTTGTGGCCTGCTGGAAGTCATTTTTCAGGGCTCTGTCTTCTGTTTCCTGCTTGTACAAAGGCAGAGGTAGTGGTCATTCTGCTGGGTTGTTGCCCATCTATGGTCTCCTCCACATTTCCTGGTGTAGTGGCTTGTCTTCTGGTGGCACCCCCCGCCTCTGGACACTATGCTGACAGACACAGCAAACCTTGCCATAGTTGATGTGCCATCCTGGATGAGCTTCGTTACCTGACACAGTGGGTTGTTGAATCTGGCTAGTGCTACCACGAGTTCAAAAGTACCACCAACATTCATAAGTTATATCGGCCAGAAAACATAGGTACTGATAAGTGGTCTTTGGTCCCCACTTATAGAACCACTCCTTTATTGAGTGTGTCTTGGAAATTGGCAATAATTTCCACCTGTTGTGTAACCAATTTAGATATCAGCATGTTAAATTGATTGTCAATCAGTGTTGTTTACTAAGAGGACAGTTCAATTTCACAGAAGATTTATTTGATTGAAGTTATATTTTGTTACTTGTGTGTTCCCTTTATTTTTTGAGCAGCCTATTCAGCATATAAAGAAAAATCCTTGAATGATATTCAAAATTAATGTTCAATTAAAAATTCGAAAAGAAAGTAATTTGGAAATTTCAAATGGTTTGTGTGAAACAATATGATATTTACAGCTTCCCTTTCTGGTGTAAAAAAAAAATGTTTCTCAAGGTAATTCTGTTAGATTATAAGATTTTCAGCATGAAGCTCCAACTATGAAAACCGACTAACTTTCTTCAAGCTAATATAGAACTTTTTCTCTTGCATGAAGGTGATAAAAAGGATTTTGACGAGGACAAGAACTTACTGCAAAATATGTCAATCTTTTTATATTTTTTCATACTTCTTTTTCTATCAGACCTTGTAGCAGTTATTGCATTTATATATGTGTAAATATGTATATTCTCGTTTTTTCTTACAGAGAACAGTGATTTATTCAGCTTGTGTTGCATTCTTCTGTGACTTTCACAGCATTTCTCCCTTAATGTCCGCAGTTCTTTTTCTTTCAATGGAAACCTCTCTCTCTATTTCATCTTTCTTTTAAACCAAGGACAGAATGTTCAGCAAGAGCACTTGAATGCCAGGTTATTCTTGAACTTAAGGCTCCTTTGATCATCTTCCAAATTGGCCACACTGCAACATGTACAGTACACCTCCTAATGTCGTCATTAGCAGAGATTAGTCCTGGTAATTAGCCATGATAACACTGAAACTGGCAGCTAATAAGGCGTGAACTTGCCTGAGATAATGTGTAAAGAAGTAAAAAAAAAGGTGCGGAGGAGGAAAGGCTTTAAAGGGAAGGTAAATGTTTGTGTCTTTGCAGGTATTTACTTTGGTATCAATAAAAGACAGCCTGGTAGGATCAAGAATAAAATACAGAAATATATAAATTATAAGATGAAGCCAGGCTCTGTGTGATAATTAAAAATCACCTGATATTTTGCTTTGAATAATGGTTAATTTGAATAATGGAATAATGGTATAAGTTACAGCATGGTAGCTCCTGAGGACTGGACT